ACTCAGTATTTACAAGCGGTCACCCATCTAGGTACTGTCTAGTCTCGACATTGCTTAATTTCGGTGATCGGACGAGAACCGATATTTCAACGTGATTTGGTCGTTGTCATACTACCCGCTACAGCGCACCCATCTATCCATCGACGTTGCTTAATTTCGGTGATCGGACACTATTTCAACGTATTTACGTTAAGTCATCCACTACCCAAGCGGTCACCCTTACGTTTTGCAATTTCGGTCTATTTACAAGCGGTCACCCATCTAGGTACTGTCTAGTCTCGACGTTGCTTAATTTCGGTGATCGGACGAGAACCAATATTTCAACGAGATTTGGTCGTTAAGTCATACTACCAGCACATCCACGCTTACATCACCCAGTATTTGCAAGCGGTCACCCATCTAGGTACTGACTAAGCTCGACGTTGCTTAATTTCGGTGATCGGACGAGAACCGATATTTCAACGTGATTTGGTCGTTAAGTCATACTACCCGCACATCCACCCTTACACCTCAGTTTTACAAGCACCCACCCATCTAGGTATTTCGACGTTGCTTAAGCGGTCGGACCCGATATTTCAACGTGATTTGGTCGTTAAGTCATACTACCCTATCCATCAGACGTTTTACAAACGGTCAATTTCTGTCTAGTCTCGACGTTGATTTCGGATCGGACGAGAACCGATATTTCAACGTTATTTGGTCGTTAAGTCATACTACCCACATCCACCCTTACAGCACTCCAGTATTTACAAGCGGTCACCCATCTAGGTACTGTCTAGTAACGTTGCAATTTCGGTGATCGGACGAGAACCATCAACGTGATTTTTACAAGTTCTAGTACTGTCTGTCTATTTACAAGTCTCGACGTCTAGTCTCGACGTTTCGGTTTCGGTGATCGACGAGAACCGATATTTCAACGTGATTTGGTCGTTAAGTCATACTACCAGCACATCCACCCTTACATCACCCAGTATTTACAAGCGGTCACCCATCTAGGTACTGTCGTTAAGTCATACTAGTCTCGACGTTTTACAAGCTTAATTTCTCGGTTGATCGGACGAGAACCGATATTTCAACGTGATTTGGTCGTTAAGTCATACTACCAGCACATCCACCCTTACAGCACCCAGTATTTACAAGCGGTCACCCATCTAGGTACTGTCTAGTCTCGACGTTGCTTAATTTCGGTGATCGGACGAGAACCGATATTTCAACGAGATTTGGTCGTTAAGTCATACTACCCGCACATCCACCCTAGTCTCGACGTTGCACCCAGTGATTTTTCAACGTGATTTGCGGTCACCCATCTAGCTACTGTCTAGTCTCGACGTTGCTTAATTTCGGTGATCGGACGAGAACCGATATTTCAACGAGATTTGGTCGTTAAGTCATACTACCCGCACATCCACCCTTACAGCACCCAGTATTTACAAGCGGTCACCCGCGGTCACCCATCTACGGTACTGTCTAGTCTCGACGTTGCATAATTTCGGTGATCGGACGAGAACCGATATTTCAACGTGATTTGGTCGTTAAGTCATACTACCCGCACATCCACCCCTTACAGCACCCAGTATTTACCGGTCACCCATCTAGGTACTTCTAGTCTCGACGTTGCAATTTCGGTGATCGGACGAGAACCGATATTTCAACGTGATTTGGTCGTTAAGGTCACCCCTTCGGGTATTTACAAGCGGTCACCCATCTAGGTACTAGTCTCGACGTTGCTTAATTTCGGTGATCGGACGAGAACCGATATTTCAACGAGATTTGGTCGTTAAGTCATACTACCCTCACATCCACCCTTACAGCACCCAGTATTTACAAGCGGTCACCCATCTAGGTACTGTCTAGTCTCGACGTTGCTTAATTTCGGTGATCGGACGAGAACCGATATTTCAACGAGATTTGGTCGTTAAGTCATACTACCCGCACATCCATCCTTACAGCACTCAGTATTTACAAGCGGTCACCCATCTAGGTACTGTCTAGTCTCGACGTTGCTTAATTTCGGTGATCGGACGAGAACCGATATTTCAACGAGATTTGGTCGTTGTCATACTACACGCACATCCATCCTTACAGCACTCAGTATTTACAAGCGGTCACCCATCTAGGTACTGTCTAGTCTCGACGTTGCTTAATTTCGGTGATCGGACGAGAACCGATATTTCAACGTGATTTGGTCGTTAAGTTCGGTGATCGGACATCCACCCTTACAGCACTCAGTATTTACAAGCGGTCACCCATCTAGGTAATATTTCGGTGATCGGACGAGAACCGATTTTCAACGGTCGTTAAGTCATACTACCAGCACATCCACGCTTACATCACCCAGTATTTACAAGCGGTCACCCATCTAGACGTACTGTGATAAGCTCGACGTTGCTTAATTTCGGTGATCGGACGAGAACCGATATTTCAACGAGATTTGGTCGTTAAGTCATACTACCCGCACATCCACCCTTACAGCACCCAGTATTTACAAGCGGTCACCCATCTAGGTACTGTCTAGTCTCGACGTTGCTTAATTTCGGTGATCGGACGAGAACCGATATTTCAACGCACATCATCTACAGCACTCAGTTTTACAAGCGGTCGTTAAGTCTCGACGTTGCTTAATTTCGGTGATCGGACGAGAACATATTTCAACGAGATTTGGTCGTTGTCATACCCCGCATCCATCCTTTTTATTTACAAGCGGTCACCCATCTAGGTACTGTCTAGTCTCGACGTTGCATAATTTCGGTGATCGGACGCCGATATTTCAACCGTTAAGTCTTGCTTACTATCCAGCACATCCACACCCGCAGCACCCAGTATTTACAAGCGGTCACCCATCTAGGTACTGTCTAGTCTCGACGTTGCTTAATTTCGGTGATCGGACGAGAACCGATATTTCAACGTGATTTGGTCGTTAAGTCATACTACCAGCACATCCACGCTTACAGCACCCAGTATTTGCAAGCGGTCACCCATCTAGGTACTGTCTAGTCTCGACGTTGCTTAATTTCGGTGATCGGACGAGAACCGATATTTCAACGAGATTTGGTCGTTAAGTCATAATACCCGCACATCCACCCTTACAGCACCCCCAGTATTTACAAGCGGTCACCCATCTTTCAAGGGTACTGTCTAGTCTCGACGTTGCTTAATTTCGGTGATCGGACGAGAACCGATATTTCAACGTGATTTGGTCGTTAAGTCATACTACCAGCATCCACCTTACAGCACCCAGTATTTGCAAGCGGTCACCCATCTAGGTACTGTCTAGTCTCGACGTTGCTTAATTTCGGTGATCGGACGAGAACCGATATTTCAACGAGATTTGGTCGTTAAGTCATACTACCCGCACATCCACCCTTACAGCACTCAGTATTTAAAAGGTCGCCCATCTAGGTACTGTCTAGTCTCGACGTTGCTTAATTTCGGTGATCGGACGAGAACCGATATTTCATTTGGTCGTTGTCATCATACGCACATCCATCCTTACAGGTATTTACAAGCGGTCACCCATCTAGGTACTGTCTAGTCTCGACGTTGCTTAATTTCGGTGATCGGACGAGAACCGATATTTCAACGATTTGGTCGTTAAGTCATACTACCAGCACATCCACCCTTACAGCACCCAGTATTTACAAGCGGTCACCCATCTAGGTACTGTCTAACGTTGCGGTGATCGGACGAGAACCGATATTTCAACGTGATTTGGTCGTTAACTTACTGACATCCACCCTCGACGTTTTACAAGCGGTCACCCATCTAGGTACTGTCTAGTCTCGACGTTGCTTGATCGGACGAAACCGATATTTCAACGTGATTTGGTCGTTAAGTCATACTACCCGCATCCACCTTACCACCCACCCTCGACGTATTTACAAGCGGTCACCCAGTCTTTCACCCATCTAATTTCGGTCACGGACGAGAACCATATTTCAACGTGATTTGGTCGTTAGTACTACCGCACATCCACCCTTACGCACGTATTTACAAGCGGTCACCCATCTAGGTATAGGCTCGACGTTGCTTAATTTTCGATCGGACGAAACCGATATTTCAACGTGATTTGGTCGTTAAGTCATACTACCAGCACATCCACCCCATTACAGCTAGTCTCGACGTTGCTTAATTTCCAGTATTTACAAGCGGTCACCCATCTAGGTACTGTCTAGTCTCGACGTTGCTTAATTTCGGTGATCGGACGAGAACCGATATTTCAACGTGATTTGGTCGTTAAGTCATACTACCCGCACATCCACCCTTACAGCACCCCAGTATTTACAAGCGGTCACCCATCTGGTCGTTAGGTACTGTCTAGTCTCGACGTTGCTTAATTTCGGTGATCGGACGAGAACCGATATTTCAACGAGATTTGGTCGTTAAGTCATACTACCAGCACATCCACCCTTACAGCACCCAGTATTTACAAGCGGTCACCCATCTAGGTATTTAGTCACGTTGCTTAATTTCGGTGATCGGACGAGAACCGATATTTCAACGAGATTTGGTCGTTAAGTCATACTACCCATCCACGGTACTGTCACCCATCTAACTGTCTAGTCTCGACGTTGCTTAATTTCGGTGATCGGACGAGAACCGATATTTCAACGTGATTTGGTCGTTAAGTCATACTACCGCACATCCACCCATTACAGCACCCAGTATTTTACAAGCGGTCACCCATCTAGGTACTGTCTAGTCTCGACGTTGCTTAATTTCGGTGATCGGACGAGAACCGATATTTCAACGAGATTTGGTCGTTAAGTCATACTACCCGCATCCATCCACCCTATTTACAAGCGGTCACCCATCTAGGTACTGTCTAGTCTCGACGTTGCTTAATTTCGGTGATCGGACGACCGATATTTCATCGTTAGGTCCACTGCGGTCACCCATCTAGGCTGCTGTCTAGTCTCGACGTTGCTTAATTTCGGTGATCGGACGAGAACCGATATTTCAACGTGATTTGGTCGTTAAGTCATACTACCAGCACATCCACGCTTACATCACCCAGTATTTGCAAGCGGTCACCCATCTAGGTACTGACTAGGCTCGACGTTGCTTAATTTCGGTGATCGGACGAGAACCGATATTTCAACGTGATTTGGTCGTTAAGTCATACTACCCGCACATCCACCCTTACAGCACCCAGTATTTACAAGCGGTCACCCATCTAGGTACTGTCTAGTCTCGACGTTGCTTAATTTCGGTGATCGGACGAGAACCGATATTTCAACGTGATTTGGTCGTTAAGTCATACTACCCGCATCCATCCACCCAGTATTTACAAGCGGTCACCCATCTATCCACTCGACGTTGCTTAATTTCGGTGATCGGACGAAACCGATATTTCAACAAGATTTGGTCGTTAAGTCATACTACCCGCACATCCATCCTTACAGCACTCAGTATTTACAAGCGGTCACCCATCTAGGTACTGTCTAGTCTCGACGTTGCTTAATTTCGGTGATCGGACGAGAACCGATATTTCAACGAGATTTGGTCGTTATAGTCCATACTACTCAGTATTTACAAGCACATCCACCCTTTTCAACAGCGTTGTCATACTCAGTCCATTTAAATTTACGGGTCACCCATCTAGGTACTGTCTAGTCTCGACGTTGCTTAATTTCGGTGATCGGACGAGAACCGATATTTCAACGATTTTTCGTTAAGTCATACTACCAGCACATCCACCCTTACATCACTCAGTTTTGGGTCACCCATCTAGGTACCAGCTAGTCTCATCGACGTTGCTTAATTTCGGTGATCGGACGAGAACCGATATTTCAACGAGATTTGGTCGTTAAGTCATACTACCCACATCACATCCACGGTCTTACAGCACCTCGAGTATTTGCAAGCGGTCACCCATCTAGGTTCTGACTAGGCTCGACGTTGCTTAATTTCGGTGATCTTACGAGAACCGATATTTCAACGTGATTTGGTCGTTAAGTCATACTACCCGCACATCCACCCTTACATCACCCAGTATTTGCAAGCGGTCACCCATCTAGGTAGTGACTAGGCTCGACGTTGCTTAATTTCGGTGATCGGACGAGAACCGATATTTCAACGTGATTTGGTCGTTAACGTCATACTACCGATATTTCACATCCACCCTTACAGCACCCAGTATTTACAAGCGGTCACCCATCTAGGTACTGTCTAGTCTCGACGTTGCTTAATTTCGGTGATCGGACGAGAACCGATATTTCAACGTGATTTGGTCGTTAAGTCATACTACCAGCACATCCACCCTTACAGCACCCAGTATTTACAAGCGGTCACCCATCTAGGTACTGTCTAGTCTCGACGTTGCTTAATTTCGGTGATCGGACGTGAACCGATATTTCAACGTGATTTGGTCGTTAAGTCATACTACCAGCACATCCCCGCTTACAGCACTTTAATTACAGTCTCTTTAGACAATCTTGTTTGCCTTCCATATTCATTAAAAAGAACATCTTTATTGAAATAAGATTAAGAAATGAAGGATTTTTGCCATTTTATTTATGTTATTTTATACACTAGAATTGTTTTGCAACACATCGAAGCATTCTAAAATCATCCCAGTATTTAAGCATTGTTGAAATTATCGCTACCATGTTTGTTGAGATTTACAAACTCTGTGTTTCATTCAATTTTGCACACCAATCAATGAAATTTGATTAAGCTGATTTGTTTTGAAAAATAAATTGACAAAAACCTATTCGCTGTTTAATAATTTATTTAATTCAATTTTATAGGACTTCATGGTAAACAATTTTTTTTAAATTCTTATTTTCCTTTTTCTATTTTAACAGCGAAAAATAAATTGTTAGGATTTCTTACACTTGAGCATACAACATACAACTGTCCATGAATAATCATTTGTTACTGGAGCCATTTTTTTTTTTTTTGGCCTTGTGATTGTTGTTATCGCAAACGTAGGGCAAACAGGAAACTGTATCCTTGTCCATTCGAAACGATATTCGGATGTTTTAGGAATAGACACTGAAAAGTCATGAGATCTGGGGTTGACCAATTCCGAACGCTTTTCACCCATTATTGCCTTTAATTGGTCCATCTGGAAGCAGTACTTTCTGAGTTCAATATCTGATTTTGCGAATGGAGTTCTTAATACACAATGTCCTTCCAGTTCCAGCAGATAAACAGTATCACTTTCTTTGGATGCAGGCCGTTTTTTTGGGAGTGGTTAACAATGGCTGATTTCGTTTTCCCCGGTAGCTTTTTCGCTAAACATTGTTGTAAACCATCCATTTTTCTGTGCCTATGATCATACTTTTAAAAAATGAGTTTTCTTTCTTCGCGTTTGGGTAGAGAATCACAGATGGGAATCCCTCCATCCCATTAAATCCTGAGGCATCCAAACATCGCAACGATTCATTTATTCAAACTTTTTCAAAAGCCTTGAATCGGGGAGCTAGAATCGGAATTCCGGTCGAGTTTATTACATTCCCCTACGTCCTAATATTCTTGTGAATGGTATGAATCCATCTCTTCTCCCCCAGCTATCGGTAAATGTTATAACTAACTCTTAGCGGTTATAATATTATGCCTTGCTTAGGTTACTCACTGTGACGTCATTGGAATTCTTCCTGACTGACTCCAACGAACATCTACTGACTCACTTTGAATTCTCTTTTTTTTTTTTTTAAGCGTTTCACCCCAAGCAAGTCGGAAAGCCACTAGGACGCAAGGGGTTACAGAAAATTTGGAGCAAGATCAGATAGGAGTGATAGAAGAAAGGATGAGGAGAAGGGTAGTGGATAGATCAAGGCAACTGAAGATGTCGATTGACATTACATTTGAATAGCTGGAGATTATAGCTCTCAGGGAAACTGAAATAGGGAAGGGAGTTCCACAGGCGAGAGGTGCGAGACATGGAGTTATTGGAGTAGAAGAGATGGCTACATTTAGCAGTTTCGACAGTGAAGGGGTGAGAGCGGGATGCCAGCCTCGTAGGGCGCTTAAACTCATGAAGTCTGGGAACCAGCGAATTGCCATGAAAGTATTTGTAAAACAGACAGAGAGATGCGACGACGCGTCTGTGAGAAAGTGACTGTAGACGAGATGCCAGAGCAGGGCCAATTATATTGCATATCCGCCTATCGAGCCTATCAAGAACCCCGAGGCAAACAGAAGGGGCTCCAGACCATATATGGCAGCAATACTCCATGAAAGGGCGAATTGTTGATTTGTAGATCTGGAGGATCGATTCCGGTGAGAAAAATTTCCTGGCGCGGCACAGGGAGCCAACTTTACTTGCGGTGGACGAAGCAATTGACTCAATGTATTTGTTCCATCTCAGGTCAGCAGTCAACGTGAGACCGAGCAGACGCAGAGAGTTGCTTTCGAGAAGTTGAGCGTCAGACATTCTAATGGAGGGCAGGGAAGGATCTCTGTGGTGATTTAAGGCGTCTTGCCTACTTCATTTGTGTAGTATATTATTTAGTCCACAACATCCCCCCTTTTGAGATTTTTTTCACTAGTAAATATTTATAGATAAATCCCACCACTGAAATAATTTCATCCAGTCAGTACCAAATAAGTTTGTAGTATTTTTAACAAATAAGCCTTAGATTTTACACACTTATTACGAAATGAAACGTTACAAGTCATTTTACCAATAAAAAATAATTTCTTACCCGACACACCACATGCGATTTTCAAAGTTCTTTTTAATATAGGTTTCTGTTTGCTTTCCATGTGGTTTCGTTGATTATTGTGATATCACTACCAGTGTCTAGTTGCATTTTTACATCCACATTATTAATTTTAACATACCCTAATTTTCTTTGGTTTTCTGTAATTATTTTTTCCGTCGCAAAGTTGTGTACGAACGTTTTTCGGCGAGAACTTTCCCTTGCTTTATTTTACAGTGTGACTTTTTATGTCCTACTTTTCCTCACTTGTAGCACTTTGAATTCTTAAAGAGACAGTCACCTTCGAGATGTAACCTTCCACATCTGAAACATGGATTATTTTTTTCTTTTTCCATATTTTTGTTTAGCTTGCATGTATACGCATTCTTTTTCTTCATTTTCTCCCGTATTGCGTCTCAGATTAAGGATTCTCTGATACTCGTCCGATATTTCTTGTGTTTCTTTTTGATTCTGTTCAAGTTTTGTTAGAATTATAGCACGTATTTCTGCGTCTTTTTTTTTTTTTTTTTTTTTTTTTCGCTGTTAACACTCGAATGAAAATTAACCCTTTAAACATATCCGGAATCAGTTCGTTTAATTTGAATCGCTCACACGCTTTGTTAACGATTCCAGCATATGTGACGAAATCTTCGTTTTCTTTTATCGTCAGATGATGCACTTCCAACGAGTATTGAATAGCGAACTTTTCTCGCTAAAAATTTTAGACAGAATATTTACTGGTTCTTCAAAGCAAATTTAATTTTTTTTTATTTTTTATTTTTTTTTTTTTTTTTGGTAGTACAATATTACAGTATTTTTCATGTTCTAACTGTGCTAACTTTCTCAACAAAAGTCTTGTATTTTTCTCGTCATCCCAGCCGCTGCATTCTTCTATGAAAATTTGCTCGTATTTTCTAAAATAAGCAGAAAGGGTAATTCCATCATCTGGATTGTAAGTGAATTCCGTTATGGTATTTGCCACCGCTTCGAGAGTGAAAGAACTTGGAGAATTTTCCGTTCTCTTCTGTATTATTTCAATTAAATTTTCTCGTTTCTTGGGTTCCAAAAACTGCTGTTGTTGCTGCTGCTTTATTTTTACCATTTGGGCTAATAATTCTTGCATATTTAAAGAATATCTAAGTTTTTCTCTTTTTTACGCACACCAAAGAAAAATGTTATAACTCACCTGGCGGTTATAATATTATGTCTTGGTTCTTGGTTCTAATTTTTCGTCGTCACTAATGATGTACGCCGAAACAAAAAGTACATTTTCCTACTCCGTGTGAGTTTCGATTCCGAGCCGCCACTGTTACAACTACTCCTAGCGGTTATAATATTATTTCTTGCTTAGGATACTCACTGCGACGTCATTAGAATTCTCCAAGACTGACACCGACGGACTTCTACTGATTCCCTTTGAGTTCTTTATTTAAGGTGTCTTGCCTAGTTCATTTGTGTTACTAG